AGTGGCTCCCATGGTGCTGACAGGAGGGTGAAGGCTGAGCTGTGCCACCCTGAGTGACAGTGGCACCACAGCGTGTCCCACTGTGCCACCCCGAGTGACGGTGGCACCGCAGCATCTCCCACTGTGCCACCCCGAGTGACAGTGGCACCGCAGCATGTCCCACTGTGCCACCCCGAGTGACGGTGGCACCGCAGCATCTCCCACTGTGCCACCCCGAGTGACAGTGGCACCGCAGCATGTCCCACTGTGCCACCCCGAGTGACGGTGGCACCGCAGCATCTCCCACTGTGCCACCCCGAGTGACAGTGGCACCGCAGCATGTCCCACTGTGCCACCCCGAGTGACGGTGGCACCGCAGCATCTCCCACTGTGCCACCCCGAGTGACAGTGGCACCGCAGCATGTCCCACTGTGCCACCCCGAGTGACGGTGGCACCGCAGCATCTCCCACTGTGCCACCTGGAGTGATGGTGGCATCACAGCATGTCCCACTGTGCCAACCCGAGTGACAATGGCATCGCAGCGTGTCCCATCTCATCACCTGGGGGTGCAGGGGGAGCAGCCCAGCTGGTGGGGACACCGTGGTGGCCACCACGGGGACATGGGCAGGGTGATGGGGACACCCACCAGGCCATCACCGGTGCCACCACCAGTGGTGCTGGGAACCCCCGCTGTGGTGGCCCTGGCACAGAGGTCCCACTCGCCCAGGACCCGTGGCACCCATGGGTGCCGTGCAGTGTCTCCAAGGCTGGGGTCCAGGCTCTTCTGTCACCACGGCAGCCAGTCTGTGCCACCTCATGGTGGTGGGGACCCCCAGCGAGCCCCGAGGTGAGGGGGATGCACCCCGACGTGCCCCATGGCCCTGGCAGCCCCGAGGCGGCGGGGATGGCCCCCCAGGCTGTGGCTAGTGCCAGGGCGAGCAGCAGCGGGGGGAGCAGCGCGGGCTGGGGACGGTGGCCCCAAAAGCCACCCCATGGCACCCGTCCCACATCCGGGAGCGCCGTGCCAGGAGCTCTGCCCGCTGGGCACACCTTCCCCTGCCTGCTTCCTGCTGTACACCCCCCTCCTCCCAATGACACCAGGACCCCCAGCTCTGGTGGCACCTGGAGTGACGGCCCCCCCCTTGCCCTGCGTCCCATGTGTCCCCCCCCCCCAATTAGGGGACTCCCCGGTGTCCCCCAATGGGGGGGCACTGGGCTCCCACCAGTGCGACTGGGACCAAACCCAGTGAGGGTGACAGTGCTGGTGACGAGGACATGGTGGAGCTGGTGACAAGGGCCTGGC